TTAGGGTTTAGGGCTCATGGGGTTCTTAGTTCAGGGTTCCTTTAAGGGTTCCTTTAAAGGGGCTACTACAAGGGTTGCTATAAGGGTTTGGGTTTAGGGTTTAGGGCTCATGGGGTTCTTAGAATGGGGTTCCTTTAAGGGTTCCTTTAAAGAGGCTACTATAAGGGGCTACTAGAAGGGTTTAGGGCGTGGGGGCCTTAATAATCAGAATATGGCTTTCGGGTATCTTATACTACAGTGATTTTACGGAACCCCCCCAAAAAATAGTATAGGTGATTATTAAGGCTATAGGGTTCATTGCTACTTGGGCAGAGGGTTCAGGGCTTCGGGTTTCGAGTCTTAGGTTCTACTGTTTTAGAGTGCTCGTAATTGTTGGGAATCAGCGTCGAGGCTTCTGAATCGAGTATTCAGAGCTTTGGGCCTTTGACTTCAAGGTTTGGGTGTGAGCCGAAACCCTAAACTCTAAACCCTAAACCGGGGGGTGGCGGGTGGTCCCCAGGCCTTCCCAAGGCGGGAGGCCTGATAAGTAGAACGGGGCGTTGGGGTATTTGATCCAAGGCTCCCTAAACCCTAAACCCTAAACCCTAAACCCTAAATTCGGATCATCACCGGGGACTCGGGTGGCTGGAAGAATCGAAAGAGGCCCAGGGCTTAGGACATAGTGGCTGAAAATGGCTGAAACCCTGACCCTAAACCCCGAAGCCCTGAACCCTAAACCGGAGGACCTTAAGCGTCCCGGACCTCTAAACCAGACCGTCAACTGTTCGAGTCTGGTTATCATGGTTTAGGGTTGAGGGTTTGCATCGCCGTTCTTGAGTTTTACGGCCTAGAAGACACTAGTGATGCAATCCTTGTAAACAGAGCCAGGACCATCACCACCACCACCACCACCACCACCACCACCACCACAACTATACTACTCGTGCTGCTGCTGCTGCTGCTACTTCTACTTCAGCTTTCTACTTCTACTTCCCTTTATGCTTCTACTTCTACTTCTACGGCCGCTGCTTCTTCTGCTTCTACTTCTGCTTCTACTGCTATGTCTTCTTCTACTTCTACTACGACGACGACGACGACTACTACTACTACTACCACCACCACTGCTACTACTGCTACTACTGCTACTACTGCGAACTACTAACTACTGACTACCAACTACTAACTACCAGCTACTACCGACTAACTACTACCTATTACGCCACTACAACGACGACTACTGCTAAGTTTTCTACTACTACTACTACTACTACTACTACTACGACGACGACGACGACGACGACGACGACGCTACGACTACCACAACGACTACGACGACGACGACGACGACGACTACTACTACGTATCACCGTCATTAATATAGGCAATGGCAAGCGAGCAGACTGCCTTGTCAATGTAGCCCATTGCAGCAGTCAGGGCTGGCACAAAAAGCTGCACCCCACAACTTCGATCTGTATTTGGTCAACAGTAGGACTCCTAAGGTGCGCTTGGTAGACTCTCCTCCGAAAGGCATGGCAGTAATCTAGAAACGGTCAGACAGTAACAACAGTCACCCTCGTATTGCGGTTGCTGTCTATTGCTGCTAACCCTACATAACCGGTACTTGGCTTTCCTTGAAAGGCAACCTCTTTGACTAAGAACGTGATTCGAAGCAGTTGTCGTCATTTGTTCGCAGACAGCACCAAGAATCGTCGAAAGCCTGGCTACGACTGGAGTTTGGAGTTGAGGGCGAAATGGCTAAGGAAGTCAAAGTACCTATAGGGTCATACCCTACCCCTTTTCTATTGTACCTACAAGTCTATACGACAGCTTCTAACCATAATTCTAAGTACCCTAAAAATAGTAGGATATGTCCCTAAATCCTGAACCCTTAATCATGACCCTCTAAGTAGTGTTTAAGGCTTCGGAACATCGCTGAACAGACTAAATCGAAAGCCCTGCACCTAGCACCCTGAAACCCAAGAGCAAAACCTCCTGATTATCATTCTTATTGTGATTAGTACTCTCAGTAGTAATATTATTACAATGTTGCTATGCCTATTGTTCTTTCTTTTGGTAATTATGATCATGACTATCATGGATACTGCAATTAAAATTGCGGTTATAACAGTATCAACTATTCTTGTTACAAGTACGTGTGCTACGCACAGATGTCTTCGACCAGGAGATTGGATGCCCCGAAACACCGGCACTGGCGTTTTGTTTGGGATCTAGGATGTGAGGTTCAAGCTTTAGAGTTTGGAGTAAAGGGCATCGATCCGCAATGAGCATTCTTGTGATGTTGGAGTAGGACATGGTATCAAAGTAGTCTGAATGGCAATACAAAGCTGTGGAAAAGCAGTCCTTGCTACAGTTAACTCAGCCGCGCAGGTATAGTAGGGCCCACTGAATCTCTGTTATTGCGGGGCTGTTGCTCTAAGGCAGACTGACCCTAATGAAAGCTTAATTGAAGCCAACGTCAATGCATTACCAGCAAACCCACAAGGACCCTGAACCCTAAAACTTAAACTCTAAGCCCCACCCTAAACCCTTACCCCCCCAGTCATGTTGAAAACTATGTCGTCGCAAACATTCAACACATCCCCACATATACTCACCAAACTGACCCAAAAGCTTCAACCTCATCACCTTTGTAAGACTGGAAGCGTTAAACCGTTAAACCCTGAGCCCTAGCCCTACGGCATCTACGAAGACCAGACGTCCGAGGACTGATCCGCTCAAGCTATTGGGCCCAACACCCCTACCGAGTCCCTTAGCTGGTATACACTTTTTGGTTGTCGAAGAGCTTAACTACATCATAACTCATCCAAAAAAGGTACTAAATTTGAGGGTCTAGGCACTATCCAAATCTTGAAGGCTGTTGCCGTAAACCCTAAGAACACTAAGCCGACAATCTAAGCGCTTGAACCCCAAACCGTGATAGCTCAAGGGCAAGAGCCTCGAGGCATACCTCCTCCAGCAGCCAACAGCTGAGCCCCAAAGTGGCTCCCAAACCCTTTGAACCCCAAACCGAAGCCCAAAAAACCCTCAAACTGTCCTGTTCCTCGTGCTGATAGAATCTACCAGCCCTAATTCCCTTAAGCCTTACACCCCCCCAAAACTCCCAACACGATCCGTTTTTCCTCCCGGCTACGGCTTCGGAGCTCGGTACGGAGATCCTGGAATTCGCAGCAGCGGAGCCGTTTTCTCGGAGGTCTCGGCTTCGGCTTTGCCTTTGCCGAAGATTGGCAGCTCCAGTCCTGGCATCCATTGGGGGGGAACTCTACTACTCTTCCGCTTTCGGGTGTCTTCAGGGTTGGGGTTTAGGGTTTAGGTTTCAGGGTTAAAATTTAGGGTTTAAAGTTAAAAGGTTTAGGGTTCAGGGTTTAGGGTTTAGGGTTTAGGGTTTAGGGTTTAGGGTTAGGGTTTAGGGTTTAGGGTTTAGGGTTTAGGGTTTAGGGTTTAGGGTTTAGGGTTTAGGGTACTCTTGACCATAAAACAGAGTGTTCAGGGTTAGGGTCAGCCGAAACCCAAAACCGAATGAAAGAGCCTTAATAGTTAGACTAGGGTCTTGCGGGCTCCGCAGTATAAATATAATAGAATATACCCCCCAAACCCTGTTCTGATAATTCAGGCCCTTATGTTCATTTGGGAAAAAAGGCTTTCGAGTTTGAGAGTGCGAGTTCTTCTGGGGTTTCCGACTCCTGGGATGCTGGGATGTAGGGGGGAAGCCAGAAGAAGCCGGATAAGGCCCGATATAGGGGTCTTAACAATCACCTATACTACTTGGAGGGTTCCTTATTATAATTATAGTATTAAGGGCCCCGAAACCCTATTGAAATAAATATCAAGGCCCCTATATTATATAGACCCCAAACCACCCCTGAACCAAAGCCTGAACCCCAAAACCCCAGACCTCCAACCCCTCAAACAACACTCCTCAACAAATCAAGTACGAGCCCTGAGCCGTAAAGCCCTAAACTAAGGGGCTCTCGCAGAAGAAGAGGGTGTAGGTTGCTTCTGTTCGGAGTTTAGGGTTTAGGGTTCAGGCTTGGATTAGCAACTTTGCTTGTGACTGAGCCAGGTTCGTCGTCACCACCTGAACAGTATATGGACCAGCACAGCAAGTCCGAACCCTGCAAAATAATCACAAGCGCCACGCGAAGCCAGAATGCCCACATTTCGACACACCTTGAACTGCGCCCTCAGCCTTAAGCCCCGGGGCCCCATCTGGTCACAAATCATGAAACGGAAACCATGTTGCAAACCGCAGATACCCGTTGGCTGATAGATTGAGTTGTACTTGAATCAACAGGATTATTCAACCCCAAAGGGTCCAAGGTATAGTATGTATAGTATATACTTTGGGGCCCAAAGTCCTGCAAAGTAGCTACCATATTAGTACTTGGACCCTTTGGGAACATTCAACACTTTTTCAACAACACTACAGCACGCATGCCCCGAGTTCTTCTTGAAGCACCTGCCCTAAGGGTCCAAGTACCTAATAGTCATATACTCTCCCAAATATTTACCTAGACAACTACCATCCGCAACCAAAGTACCTGATTATTGGGTCCTTTGGACCCTTAGGGTAAGGTCTAGAACCCAGAAGAACCCTGAACCCCAAACCCAAACCAAGCAGGAGCCTAGGTCCGTTTTTGCGTTGTTCAATCGGTTC